GAAATTTAACCGGTACATTTTGCAAGAATTAAAAAAAAAAAAAAAAAAGGAGATTCCCTAGCGGAACGGCTTAATTTCTCCTCTGTTCTAACATCCAGCTGTCCTGCACATTTTTTCATTTTGGTATAATTACCGATACAATTCAATTCAAAATTTTAAATTTTAAAAGGGTAAATTTCATTTTTAATCCTCAATTTTAATGTTTTACATAATTCTCATCTTTTAGCTTTTTTATGTACTTTTTTAGTATATTCTTCATATTTTTTTTAGTCCTTCTATCAATTACTCCGTTAAGTTTATCTAAAGACACACTTTTTTAATCCCTTAATTTAAAATGAATGGACGAAAAATATGCATATATTAGAAGTTGAGAGATTAAAAATTATCATTTTAAATTTGTTTTTAGTTTATAGAAATATAATAGTTTTAAATATTAGTATTTCTTATTTTATTTTAAAATTTGATATTTAATTTATAAAAATATATATATTTATAACGATAAATCTGAAACGGTAAGCGAAAAATTTTGGTATCCGGTACGTACCGTTTCAGTAACAATATCGATACGGTATTGACTCCCTTGGTTTGAACCCTAATTGGTGCACACCTCAATTTCCCGCCCCCTAGTAGCCACCCATTAAAAAAATTAGGAAAATGATTAATACATTCTCTGATTCGACGCATCTTTCAACACATACTCATTCAACCATTAAAATCTATAATTTTAAGTTTTCCTATCCTTAATTCAAATTTGAAAATAATAATTTTTTAATAAATCTGTTATGAAATATGTTGAATTAATTTATATATCAATCATTGTCCAAAAAATTAATACATGACAATTTAAAATTAGACTTGAAAACTCTAAATCTGTTGTCAATCATACTGCTTTTATCTATTCTTGTTTCCAAACATACCTCAAATCTTGTTCTACTTAACTTCTGTATCCTCTTCGACTTTGATTCTGAAAATATAGTCAAATACAAGGATTCTAAAATTGCAAATCTAATACTCTAAGGCCCCAAATCAAAAAGTGATCATTCACTTTAAAGATCCATGTCTTGAGAAACCCTAATCTAAATTTCAATTAAATCACTAACGACCTATTCGTCCAAGTGAAAAGAACTCTGTTCCCTTTAAGTAAGATATCAGGTTTGAAACTTGTGTATGAAAAAACAGGCATTGGGAAAGCATTCTCTTTTATAGAATTCAACACAACTTGATTCCAGATTGATCAAAGTCCAATGTAACTTTCAAAAATTAGGAGGTTAGTACCAAAATATTTTCAATTAAATCTAAACAAATCATATGGACTCATTTAATTATTTATTATAATTAGGGATTGTTAAGGGATGAATTTGTATCACTTTAAAATTGACAACGTGTGTAGCTTTACATCAACAGGGGGCCACGTGATATATTTTCCACATCATACATGTTGTTTCTATTTTCTACTAATTACCACAATGGAGTCAGCATTGCTAGAAGCTGTAGTCATCGGCTTTGTAGGTAGTATTGCAAATATTACCCATTCTAACATCTATTTCTATATACATAGCCGGACATGGCTATTCCTATCTCTACGACATAACTAGGCATTTTCGACAGTCGTGTCCTCTACAACGATGTTCACTGCTACATCTTTTGGCTCCCAACAATGAATAAAGAGCATATTTTGCTACATGACTCTCATCAAAGGACAATGAGTTGATCTATGTAGCTCCAAGTGATGGATAATGGGCCAAGCATATATTTCTACATATCTCTATCACTGGTTCCCATCAATGGACAATGGGCTGATCTTATTACATCTACATAGCTTTTTGCGATGGACAAAAGGCCAAAATTTCTATCTCATTTAGTCTTTAGCAATAGGCAAAAGGCTACACATCTCTACATACTCTATCTCACTAACTCTCAAAAACAAACAAAAAGTTAATGCAACTTAGTACGATTAGTGTGAGGCCAGTAACAGTTGCAACCCTATGATTGGATGGAATGGCTACCCTCTAGCGATAAAAATCCATCAAGTAACGACTGACGATCCCTTGGTAGTCGCTTATGCATAGTGGTGCGATGCCCGACAAGCAACAACGATTAGGACCACCCTCGATTAGGACCACCCTCTGACAGTGCGAGTATGGCAAGAAAGGCCAATGTTTGTAAGTGGTATCACATCTTGTCGTATCGGAGTCCATGGATGTGGTTGGTGTCCCTCATCCATAAAGACAACTCCACCTACCTCTATCACATAGTCATCGCTGTGGCAGAGTTTGGTTTAATGAGATTTACCTCTACGTGACTTGGCGGATTAGTGGGAGTGCTTTTCCAATTCCACATAGTTCACACTCCAGTCATGGGCAAAACTAGCCATTGTTGCCCCTCTGACTATAAGGAAGCTATTCATGGTTGACCTTGCAATACTTACATGGTTAGCGGTCATGCACATTATTATTCTTTTACATAAGGGAATAGATCACCTATAATCCTGACTCATAACATATTTCTTCTATATTTTGTGTTAGTAGGTATTGCCGACTAGCGATGCTTGGCTCAGGACAACAATAACACAACACACATCCATATTACTCATTCCTTATCTTGGTACAATGCCAGCCATATACAGCAGCATCATAGAAATGCTCGCCATGGCCAGTGGACAAAGGGGTGCAGCAATGTTTATCCTTATCACCCCTTTAATACACAAGGGAGTACCCTTCTTCACGGCATATATTCATACATTTTACACTTAAATATTTGAATCTATACTCATTTATATCTTACTTTCATTGTAGATGAACACAAGCTCATGAATCCAAACTCATGGGAATTATCTGGGATAAACTATGGGAGTAGTGGCTTGGCAAGCATGGATGGATGAACGTTGCCCGTTTGGAGAAGTGAGGCATTTGCGCTAACCAAGCTTGGAGCTAGTGATGTTGCCCAACTTCACCAGAACAAGTTGGGTAGCGAAGACATGGGAAAAGACTTGATCCCTAAAATTGTACTGTTTGATACTAATTAAGAGCTAAAAATCCCATTAAAAACTAGCCAAAGATATTGTTTTGGTCGCCATCAACAACTTGTAGCTGTATTCAATGCAAAGGTGGCTACACAAGTTTCACCACATTGGAAACTGTTAAAAAAGATCACATTTTGTCTAGGAAATCTACCAAAATCCTATATAGGTTTCATTTTTGCCAGATGCACTCAAGTACCCTCATAAAAATGGAATTTTGTAGATTGGAAGAATTTTCAAAAATGGGCAATTCTCAGTCTCTCATTGGAGCTAGTGGAGTTTCATTGGAAGCACTGGGTAATTCATAATATCATTGCCAAAAGCTATTAGCAATGCCCAAAGCCACTCAAAACTTAATAGCTCACCCACATCTAGCCATTAGATAGCTAGGTTGCTCTAACCCATCAACCCAAAAATTACAAAAATGTCATTTCACATATATAAATTATTTTTCCTTCATTTTTCAATAGAAGAAAATAGATTTTTACACAACTTTAGTTTCCCTCTCACACACTAGACCTCTTTTCTTCCTCTAAAAAATACTTCGTCCTCAACCATTCACTCTACACATTGAAATCACCCAAAAATCAGCCTTACCTTCACATTTTTTGCACCTCCAACACTGCAAAATATTTTCTAGACTTGCAGAACATCATAGTTGGGAGGCAGCATGCTTCAATTTCAGCTTCTAGGTAGTTTTTCTTGAGCATTAGTGGATAAAGTTGTAAGGTTAGCATTAAAAACGAGATCAAGCCCCTCTGCTCACAAGCCCCAAAATGGTCATCCTTCCTTCTCCCATCACTATCTTCAAGTTTATTCTTTTTGTTCTTGAGAATGCTTCAAAGGAGGGATTGCTGTTTTTTTCATTTGCATCATGTGGGTTGATCATTATACAGTGCTTGCTGGGGATAATAGATGGCACATTTATTGTCATTATTTTTATATAAATATATTTTATGTATAAATGTACCTCTTAACTTGTAATCTTTGATCTTCGTATATTCACCATCCTTGATATTCCTATCATAATGTACATCTTCTTTGTATGCATTTTGGTAGTTGTGTAATCATTTCCGACCCCCGGAACCTTGTTGTTTCTACTAAATTCTTTCCATCTCAGCTTGGCTAAAAAATTTATACTTTCAGACTTTATTGAAGAATTTGTTGTTAACCGTCATCGCTGGGTAAAACGAGATGACCCATGGCACGTAACCTCTTACACATGAAACGGGTGCTACCAAAAGGACCCTCTTTATTTTTCACGGGTGGCATCATAGTTAGCCTCCGTATAATCTTCACTGTTGACTCGTCATTCTACATCACCAACACACCCCAACATGGATAAATATGAAATTTTATCAATTAATTATTACAACTTTATTTTATTGGATAAAAAAATTAGACTTACCAAAATTAAATGGAGAAAGTAATTGATTATAAAAGAGAAATAAGTGCTAAGATAGTGATCATATATGATATTATCACTTATTTCCTTGTTACAATCAATTATATTACTTTCTTTGCAAAACTCCCGGAAATAACTTTCTTAAGAAAGTTGCAATACTATCGATTACCTCCATTTTATAATTAACTATATTTCACCTAGATTTGCATAGTGGAAAATCTAATTTCCTAAG